GAGAGAGAGAGAGAGAGAGAGAGAGAGAGAGAGAGAGAGGAGGGGGTGGGTTGTGATGGGGAGAGATCGTTAAGAAAAAGACTATGATATACAAATTGTACCAGTACTTATCAAGCACCAGTTTTTCATCATCGCTTCCAGTATTGTTGTATTTTATAGCTACATACATAGACTCCAAGCTGAGCTTTCTTTTTTTTCTAATCTTGTGGGTATTTCTTTCTTTCTTTCTTTCCTTCTTTCTATTTTTGGGGGATAGTGTTTTACGACACTGGCAACTGTATGACCGTATGAGCGCGAGGGACACACCAAACATTTTCAGTGGTCAGGAAATTTTGAATTTTGCCACCAAGGGATCTTTAACGTGCTTAACTTGCACATGGGACCTCCTAGATTTTCGCCCTTGTCCGAGAAGACTATGTGTAGATATTACCTACCATAAGATCAAGTGCGTGGCTGAAAGACAGTAGCCTAGTAAGAAGGAGCCAAGGAGAAGCAGTAGAAAGGCTGCAGAAAGTGTCAGGAGCCCAGAGGAGGGGGCAAAGAAGGTGAGGGGGTTGGGGGGGTGCAGAAAGTGGAGACGAAAGCAGACGACAGAACATTGTAAGAGAGCAGGAAAGGATGTGAAAGGAGAACATTAATTTAGAGAAGAAAATGTCCGTCGCTATCCGGATTCGAACTCGGGACCTATTGAATGAGAAACGAACACCTTAACCTCGACTGGGCCACGAGAGCCCCCCCCCCCCCCTTTTTTTTTTTTTTTAATTAACTCTGAATACTTTGGGGGGGGGGGGGTTAAGACCTTTAACCCATTCAAAATGATCTGCTAGGAATTACATTAAATTGAAATATCACATCAATATAGATATTCTTTTTTAATTTTAGAAGCAAAATCTAATATAATAGGCCAATACTCAAGGAAAAAAGAAAGTGTGCATAGCCGCTAAATACCCTATTTTATTAACCCAATAAGGTCAGCAGTCGCCAAACTTTGTGAAGAAGCTGACTCACTTGTTTCCTCAAGTTGCATGAGTTTCACTTTCAGCAAAAATTTCTTGTTTGTCAAAGGTGATAATTCTGTGGTTTTGAATTTTTTCAACTGCCTTTATCGTGCGACAATTTTGTACAAATGTTCCGAATTTTGGTCTAAGATTCATTTCTCTAACGTCTGTTTGTGTCGCAAAACATAAAATACAACACTGATTTTTAAAACATGCCACGTCTGTCGGAAAATGATCGAAAGCGAGCGTTGGGAATGCTCCAGGCCTGGGGTACATAGCGATATATATGTGACTCATAGACTCAATGTCCACAGAAACAACACTGGACGTTTGTGGGCACCGTGTCTGGGTGTCTGGAGTGGCGAATAGTCGACCTAGAAGTGGCAGGCCTCGGATCACAACGCTGAGACAAGACCGACACGTCCACCGCGTATCACCTCCAGAACTTAAATTGCGTCCAACATCTCTGAGGCACGTAGTGCCCCATGGGTGAAAACAAACTCAGCGAAAACTGACCGGCCCCAAAAATGCTAGATGAACTTAAGAATAGCTAGAAAGAATCCAGCAGCAGATTCTCCCTGCAGTTTATCTAACAACTTATCTTCTCTCTGAATCGACGGTGTCAATCGGTTATCAATGCAGCTGGCGGCCACACACTGTGTTGATTTTGTGACTTTGGAAATTGGTGGTCTCAACTTGTGATAGATATTTTAGCGCAAAAATAAACACTTCAATGAACATTATTTATCCTTAAGACTTGTTCCTTGATGCGTGTGTCCTCCAGAAAAGGAATTGATTCTCTACGGAAAATGTGTTTGCAAGTACAATATTCGATTTCTACGCACAGTTTTGCTTGTGTGTGTGTGTGTGTGTGTGTGTGAGAGAGAGAGAGAGAGAGAGAGAGAGAGAGAGAGAGAGAGAGAGAGAGAGAGAGAGGGCACATTTTCATGTATTTAATTAATTATCGTTGCTGACAGTTCCAGACAGAAAGGAAAATTAAGGGAGAGCACTGATATAATACCTTCACTCGGCTTCCTGATATTGGTACATTTACCTCCCCTCTGGTTAAGAAAATGAAACAAAATCGGGGAAAATTAATTTCTAACTTAAGTTAGGCCTACCGTCCTTCATTGAGACCAGAACAACTATCAACAGCTTGATTAGTGAACAATAAATGAAACGCCACACAGCAGACAATTCAAGTGCAACTTTGAAGATCAGACAAGATTCTATAAATCTCTCTCGCAGACCAACCGTAGCACCACAACGAAGCGCAGTCATCAGTCAAAAGAAATCTTAAGTGGCATGGTCTCTCTCTCTCTCTCTCTCTCTCTCTCTCTCTCTCTCTCTCTCTCTCTCT